GGCTCCTGGGCAGGCCCGCGCGGGAGCCCCTCCGGTGGGATCTCACTGCTGGCCCGTCCTCCCCAGGGTCAGGAGGGCGGCCTGAGCCTAACCGCTTGGCCTTAAGGGCTGGCTCTTCTACGGGCGATGGGGAAGACAGAACCCGAGTCTGTCAGGGTGAACAGAGATACGGCATCTGTGGCATCTGCCCCCGGGTCTGGCACGAGAATGCTCGACAAGCATCTGGAGGTGACCGGGGCCGAGAGGACGCCCTCCCCACCCGGGCCGTACAGCAGGGCTGTTGGCCAAGCCTCAGCTGACGAACAGCCACCGATGTCCCCGCACGGGTCTGTGCCCACGTGCGGGAGGCTCGGGGGAACAGGGCCCCGCAACGACCCTGTCGGATGTATTTCTCTGGAAAACTTGAAGACGCAGAAGTCCCGTTCATAACAGGTACAGGTGGCTGGGCGACAGACGGAGGCGCTACACTGAACCAGGAATCCAGATCTTCATGACTTCGAATGAGGACGGATGTGAAGCACCTCTCAGGCACCTGTGTGAGGGCGTGGGGACCGGGGTCCCGGGGGACAGAAGGGGCCCCCGGACTTCAGCTGATGGCGACCCCAAGACGAGCAGACCTCGTGGCTTGTGACGGGCCTGCAGCGCAGTGAATGTGAGATTGCGGCAGACGGCGGCGTGCCCAGGGCGGGGAGGGGTGCGCCCACGCCCTCTGAAGGGCCACCGGATCGCTCTGGCCAAAGAGACCGGAGCCCGTCTGGAGGGGTCAGGCCCAGCGGGCGGTGGCCTCAGGGCCCCCACGGCGTCAAGGCTCGTGAGTAGCCCCGCGAAGGGAATGCTGGGGTGGACACAGCCACGCCGTAGGGGGTCTCCCGAATCTGTGGCCCAGCTGGTGGAAAGGGGTAAAGATGATAGAACATCTGAGCCCCGAGTGGCTAAATTGTGCCACAACAGTCAACGCCCTTGGAACCCCGAGGGGCTGGTGGCGGGGTCTGTGCCGTGACCGCGTAAGGATGCCACTTCCAGGCGCCCTCGGGACGTGGCCCGTCGAGAAGGACTCCTGCTCCTGAAACGCCGCGTTTTCCTCTTCCCGACTTCCCGTAGAAACACCACCTCCCCTCCGGTCTCAGGCAGCGTGGCCGCGGGGACAGCTTCTGCGTGGTGCAGCCACGAGAAAGCCCACACGGAATTCGCTGGGATACTTCCTTGTCGACATCAACAAACCCACGGCCTCCCCGCATCTGGAGGCACAGATCCGGACGGCTCCGAGACCGGAACACGGCAGCCACGCCCGGTGCTTCTCTGGACCCATAACTTCCTCGTGGAGGTGAGACGCGTGCAGACCCTTCTCACACCAGAGGAGGACAGATCCCGCTTGCTTACCAGATTTAGGAGTCTCGCCCAGGACCAGTGCTTACGGGCAGATCGGGGCAGGTCTGGGTGGCTCAGAAGTGCCCAGCCCGGAGTATTCTTCTATGGGGAGCCTGCTTAGAGTTCAGAAAAACCAATTGAAACCAAACAGTTGTTTGGAAAGAAATTATTTTCTGGGTGTTGTTTTAAGGACGGCAACGCTTAGCCAAAGTACCGCAGTTCTTGTATGTATTTCAAATATTCATCTCTGGGGACGTTTGAAATTTGTGTCCATTTTTCTGACACAGAAAGTGTCAGGCTCGTGCACAAGCACATGTGGGCACTGCCACCAGCAGAGGGTATGGGTTTGGGCCCCAGCGCCCTCATCTGGCAAGTGCAGGGCTGGTTCCCGGGGGGACTAGAGGCGATGGGGCGGGGGGGGCGGCTTCATGCGCTCAGCTGTGGCCTGGTGCCAACAGGTGCCCTGACCGTGGGGGACAGCCAGGCAAGGTCAGCCGTCATCCCCACCTGGCCAGGTCCGCGAGGCAAGGCAGGGGCGCCCGCGGCTGCACCCTGGCTCCGGAGCTGAGCTGTGATCTCTTTCACGACAAAGCCCCGAAAAGCCAGACTGTGAGAATGTTCCATTGAGGGCCTTTCGTTCGGTCGCTGGGTATCTGGGCCCTGGGCTGTTCTCTCTGGTTTCACCTCTAAGTGTTCTTTGTCTCCATCTAATCTCTTCCTTGTTTTTGTGACACAGAATCGAAAACTTTTTTTTTTTTTTT